TATAATAGTTCAAAAACTCGGCCTATAATATTTGTACTATACTGCTTCACATCATCACATCACATCATCAGCCTGTAATAGTCCACTGCTGAACATAGGCCTCTCCTTAGAAAGGAGGTTTTGGCCTACTATACCACGCTGGCCAGACGGGTTGGTATAGGGTTTGTGACAAGTTTTCCTTCTTTTTGCAGAGCTGGTGTCCTGCGTTGTTTTGCGCCCTTAGTCGACTCTTACGACACCCACGGGATGAACTGGGGTAGTGACATTCCGTATTCTTAATCCGTCACTACACGGACAACTCTATACTGCTTAAAAATATTTTTGTTCACATTTATTTAATTCTATTGCGAGGAATTCCTGTTAACAACCCCGAAAGCGAGGAATCATTTGTAATGGAAGACGGTAGCGAAGTAAACGATGACTCTGGCCAAACTGCTATTAAATGGGCTGCTGAAAGATCAAACCACAGCTATGTGGAATCCAAAGAAAAACTACTCTGGCCATATAACGTAGACTGTGGCGATACATTTTGACAAAAATAAAAAGTAATTAAAGATTACAGTATCGTTTAATACGAAATATGAAACATTTTGGTTTATACAATAAAAGGTTACAATTAAATCATCATTTCTTTATTTTATTATATTGTATATAATAATGTTTTCTACAGTCAATATAATTAGGCACTCTATACAATTCCTGGGCAAAGCAAAAAATACCTGATACGCTTAGGTAATGTGTGTAATAATATTTATTTTATAAATTGCCTAGGAATTCTATACGATATCAAATGCGGAGCCGTTAAGATGTTTAAAAGAAGAAAGCATGCGCTGCAACATTTTACTTGCTTCCATTTTCTTACCTATAAAACCATTTTTCCTTTTTCCTAAATTATTAACATTTCCTAAGTATATTTCCTAAGTAACTTGGTATTGCTATGACATGTAATAGATATGAGATGAGAAATTTAATTTTTGAGGCTTATTAAATTTTTCATCATTTACAATACCAATCCAGAAAGATAAATAGGTAAATAACGAAAAAAATCTATTATTGGCTATTCATGTACTCATAGTTAAGTACCTAAAATTAAACAACACTTCATGCAAGAGCTCGGCATGAATTAAGTTCATAGAACGTAGACGTACAATACGCCATAAGCTAATTTTTTTCTCTAAAATTATTCTTGTAGGTGGCAACATAGACTTGAAAGTTTCTATGGGAGACCCACAATTTGTTAAGATTATTTAAATGAATTTTGATACAAAAATAAATCAAATTTTAGAGCAATATATGTGCTACTTTTCATCAGAAAAAATTGTTAGTTAGTTATCAGTAATGTAAATAAACGAGAAAAGGAAAATTATTTTAACTTTCATTATGTCAAATATTAGATTTAGGTATATACAATATTTAGTATTGTGGAATATAAAAATGTATTTTTAAATGGATAAAAATGGGAAATCAGGCTCAGGAGCTGAGCTACTGGCGGTTGAGGATCCAGACACACAAACTTGCCATATTAGGAAGTACATACTGCTTTTGCTATCAAGTCCTTAATCCAGCTACCTAGCGTAAACCGTTGAAGGTGTTGGTCAAGGCTTTTAGCACTCGACCATTGGCTGATATGGTTATCAGCATAATAAATACCAAAGCCATATCCCACATCTCGGCAAGCCTGTGGCCAAACCTAAATACTTTGTTTTTTTTTTCAGCCTTTAAGAGATTGTCGTTTGACTGACTGACTGGAATAAATAAAATAGTATTGGTTTCATACTATACAATTGTCTACCTATTGTCTTAATTTCTTAGAGGAAGTTTCTTGTTTGAAGTAATATAAAAATTGAGATATATGTTTGTATACAAGGGCACACTTAGTAGAGGTATTTTTGAAAATAAATATATATAGCACTCAGAGATCGTCCAGTGATTGTGATTTTAGTGAGTCACGATTCAGCTTCCATGAAAAACACAGGAAGTAAAGGTAGGGCGGTGTAGAGTCACGCGTACTGGGTAGGATTAGTTGGACCTTAAAGCTGATATCTTTGACACGGCACGTATGACACCATTGAGTTACCGTTTTAGGTGCAATACACGGTCACCATAAGGGTGTGGCTCCTAAAATGGTAACCACGGCCTCCAAACCCCAGGACCCAATGCACACGCTGCCTTGGTCACCACGGGGTGACACAGCGTGTGCATTGGGTCCTGGGGTTTGAAGGCGTAAGTGCTGGCAGAAGTGTGTATTACTGTTGGCTGAGTTCCGGACAGTGGTAGTCGGTCTCGACACGAAGAATTACGTAGCGAGACGCCGCTCGCCGAGCCACAATGGCTCGTTGACTTTCATCTGATGCAGGTCTTTTCCGGGCATGACAACTTCGGGAAGTACCTGCACTCGGTCGCTAGGAGGCAATTTGCCGCCAACAAAACATTCGGCAGATCCTCGCTACTGCGATAACTAAGTTATCGTTGTAGTTATCGATTATTACATTCATTATTTTTGTTATATTAATTCCTCAAACAAATAGTATAGCAAAAAATAAAGAAGAAATGTATTTTTCGTATCAAGTTAAATTTATTTTGATATTATATTGAGGTTATACAAACGTTTGGTACGATTGCATTCTGTCTAATATAATGTAACATCAAATAAGGACTGTTTCAGTAAAAAAATACTCTGTTCTTAATTCTAGTTGTCGGTATTGGTATTGGTATTGGTTGTGGGCTTCGGTTTCCGCTTTTAGACTCAAGAGTGGTCCTTTATGCGTCGAGGATTGGTTAGCTAGGTGAGCCAACCAAGCTCCTTCCAGAAGCGCAGAAGCCTCCTGGGACGTTCGCAGGCTTCTAGGAACGATCTTGTCTCAGGAATGATACTTGCCCGTTGTGCGGCCACTCCCTCGCATTCAAGGACTAAGTGGGCGGCCGTTTCCTCTGCTTCCAGACATCCCCTGCACAGAGGGCTGTTCGTCGCATTGATGATGAATAGGTGTCGCTTCAGGGCTAGGTGTCCTGTTATAGTACCGACAACTATTCGGATTTCCTGTCTGCTAAGACTAATCAATCTGCAGGTGAGCCGTGGTGTGACTTGAGTCATCACCAGTTTGGACTGTCTGCAGCCGGGTGAGTTTTTCCACCTCCGGTTGTGTGCTTCACTGGTCCGTTGCCTGGCCCAGAATCGTATTTGGTTAAAGGGTATTGGCAGGAGTATGGTTGGCCGGTAGCTGGGGTTGCCGGGCCCCTCCTTGCCAACTCATCTGCGGCATCGTTCCCGTGTGAGTTACTGTGCCCTTTAATCCATTGAAGGAGTACCACATTTAATGTGGCAAGCTGCTCCAATGCTTGACGGCATTCAAGGATAATACCAGAGGTCATTGTGTTGCCCTCCAGTGCCTTTAGGACGGCCATGCTGTAGGATAGTATTCGGATGTTATAGTCCTTGATACCCCTTGACATGGCCGTTGTGGCGGCGTAAGTTATTGCCACACATTCGCATTGGAATATGGAACTGTGTTGGCCTAACGCTAGTGATATGTTCATATTTAGGTCTTGCGAGAAAGCTCCGGCTCCAGTTCCTGACCTAGTCTTGGAACCGTCCGTGCAAATTCGGACTTCATTAATGCCGGATTGATCTCGGTCATTTTCTCGCATCTGGATGAGGTATCTTTTTGTGAAGATGTTCTGTTTTGGGAAATTCTAGTTGTCATGAAGCATCTTTAATACTTACAGCGTATTTCCAACGACAAGACGGCGACGGCGTGGTAAAGAGCAGAAATTATCTAAGTATTTCATGAAGTTTATTTAAGTATACCATGAAAATTTGTGAACTTCAAAAACACATTTACTATCTTCAATTTCTATTTTATAAAATATTACCACAAGGTAATATGTACATGAATATTTATGAATTTACATATGTAGTTGTGTTTAGCTTTCTGAACTTTAAGTATACTTACTTTAACTATAACTATAACTATAACTATAAAGTTTTGTATGGTGCGCGTTAACAAACACCATTTGCTCATCGTTTTTTATTAAACAACACTTTCCTAAAGTACTCGTAAATCCAGTTCATTGTAAGATAATGATATTTTTTAAGCATTAAGAGGTACATTATTGATGCGATACGTCTCTTATTTAATACTCTTTGTCAAAACTACGAGTAATGTTTATGTGACATGTATTATATCTATCTAACCAGGACATAATAATATCAGTAATGCTCTTGAGTGTGAGAAATGGAAACATGAGCACCAATGTGAATGTAGATCACTCGGAATTTTGCAGTAAAATCTTCTCTTTTCGTAAAGTCATTACTATTGATGAATCCTGTGTTGCCACAGGATTCATTTAGTCACAAACTGAGGGGACAACTATTACTATTATCCATCCAGAGACCCGGATGAATACAAGCGGACTTCCTCCAATCTCTGTTATACACGACAGCGTGATACCACGTCTGAGTATGTCACGCGGTTTCTAGAAGATACAATGACCATCCCATAAAGTAAAGCATAGAAACTCTTTTTGCAATTTACACAGACAGATACAACCTGAATCTGGTTCCGTACCATGACACCTGACAAAATTTGAGTTATTCCATTCTATGGCATGACACTCACACACTACTTTTATCTATTTATTTTCTAATACAGCTACCAAAACTCACACATGTTAACACACCATAATTTAATCAGAATTTTGAAGAACAGTAATATTTAATTTGACCTAGGCAGACTGTTCAAGTTCATTGACTATGTTCGTGAAATTCTAAGGAAAATATTCGTAAATTCAATTCTATTGCGCAAATATATGTATGTAATCATATTATTAATCATCTTTTTTTCTGATAATCTGTTTAAAATCTTTATTCAAATAATCTTGCATAGATAATCTACTTACGAAGTACCTTATAACGGTATATAAATGGTAAGCAGTCGTAAGCAGTTCATTAGTTTTTGTTTAATCAAATTCGTACACAGGACTGACAATACAATCTTATTATGAAAAGTAAGTGAAACAAATTTATAAAATAATTTCCATACAATTCTTTTCGTTCGCTAATGTGAACTTAAGCTTCCAATAAATATTTCTCAGCTTAAATTAATTGTTAGATGTAATATAAATGGGATTTTATATTGTTATTTTGTTTTAAACTTACATAATGTAGTTTTCCCTTATTTGTTAACTTCTTTGAATTGAAATCGTTAGAACAAATGGATAATCACACGACCCTTACCTATGTCCACTTGTGACACGCCTTTTCTTTACATAATGTTATGTTATTAATTTGTAACTAATAGGCTATTTAGTATACATAAATCTATAATATTTACGTGAAATAGTTAATTGGTAGTGCCAGATATAAAAAGATTTAATTCAAAAATAAAATCTTCGAACAACTTAACAAAGGATATGAAATTGCTATTTTCACTGTACTATTTTTTAAATTGCTACATGCAATTAATCTAGTTTTAGAAATTGTAAATTAAAAATAAAGTACAAACGGCTGGACAGATGATAAAAACAACTCCACTTGTTTGACAAGCTTTTCACTTTCGCTGTCGACTTTTTAACTAATTTAACTGTCGAAGGTAAAAACAATTTTATCTTGTATTTAATACAACAAAATTTAAAATAATTTTATTTAAAACAACTACAGTTAAAATTATAAGAATACAAATATTCTTATAATTTACATGACAATATAAAGAAATGATGAAACTTAATATAGCAAAGCGTGATTGTGAAACGTCTAGAACTTGTCTAAATTTAATATTTTTCAGGTGCGATATTTTCCGTGCTGCTCGTTGCTGCACTTGCTCATGGAGCCGTGCTTGTAGAAAATTTAGTAAGAGCCGGTCGTGATGATCCCAGCCAAGCTCCTGCTATATGCGCTACTGAAGGATCAGACAACAGTATAGTTGCTCATGAAAACTGTGCCAAGTATTACCAATGCTGGGGTGGAAGCCCCATCGCTTTCGACTGCGGTCTTGGTACTTTGTTTAATCCGAAGAATAGCTACTGTGATTACCCGAGTAACGTAGACTGTGGCAACAGATTTATTCCTGAACAAGAAGAAGTTGTAATTCCGATTAACCCGGTAATCCCAATCGGTAATAACCACGATAATCCCAGTCTAGCTCCACAGATTTGTGCCGCTGAAGATTCATCTGATGTGTTAGTAGCTCACGAAAATTGTAACCAGTTCTACATGTGTTTACATGGTGCACCATATGCTCAAACCTGTCAAGCTGGTCTTTTGTTTGACCCTCGCAGAGACAGGTGTGAATGGCCCGAAAATGTAAATTGCGGAAACCGAGTTGTATAAATTAAAAATAAATATTTACTATATAATATGACAAACGTTTGGCTTACAATACTTGAAATATACCTGTTTAAAATGGAAATATATTAAAAGATTTAAATGCATTTGTTTATTAATAAATTGCGAGGACTAAAAAATTCCTGTTAAAACTCCAAAAGCGAGGAAGAATAATAGAAGACGGTAGCGATGTAAGCCATAAAAACTATGATTAGATAAGCAGGCATTTCCATACCTTTCTCTTGTTCTATTGGTACCTTGTGAACTCTGAAATGTGGCGATAAGCTTGTATCTGCAATTTTACAAAAGTATTATGTAATTAAAAATTACAGTATCGTTGTTCATCGTTTATAATTGTATTAAACATTTGGCTTCTAGAATAAAATGTTATAAATTCAATCAGCGCTTATTTTATTATACTACCACGACACTATGTCCGGTATAATATATAATCAGTATGAATATATAAAAAGTATTTAGTGACGGGACCGAAAATCCCTTTAGATCCTATATGGTGACACGGGAGCCAGGAGTATGTGGTGTTTCCACTTAAAACCACCCCAATGGCCGGTCTTAGGCGCCCTACTCTAGGAAGAACACCTAGAAAATGTATTGAATACCAAAAATGTTTAGAAAATGTCATCGTTCGACTGAACGGATGGCACAGTGGTTTAAGCGGCCAACTCGCCGCTTCCTACTGCGCTGAGTGTTGTGGGTTTGATCCCCACATGGGACAACACTTTGTGTGATCCTCAAATTCTAGTTCTGAGTCTGGGTATTCTTTGTGTCCGTTTCTCGTATGTTTTTAAAGTACCCGCGACACAGGATTTCTTCCTGGTGCGGGAGTTGTTTTTTAAAAACAAACAAAAATGTACGGAATATTATCACTACAACTCTGACTTCGTTTGTTCTTTGTGCAAGCAGTCCTAATCTGGAATGCTCCCACTTATATTCAGGGCGTTCACAAACCATTTCCTATTTAAAAAGACAAAATTTCCTTTTGAAAGATATTTCAGATTATTTAATCAATACCGGTGGTGTAACCTTATAGTCTAGTATTTACAGTCTACGAATGTAAATATATTTACAAACATACATTTATACTATGTATGCTTGAAAATACATATGTATATAGGTACATATACTTATAAATATACTTATATGTATGTTCGTAAATGTATCTGTACTAATTATACTACTAATATTATAAAGCTTAAGAGTTTGTATGGTTGAACGCGCTAATATCAGAAACTACTAGTACGGATTAAAAAAAGTATTGGATAGCCCATTTATCGAGGAAGGCTATGGCTAACATCACACTACGCCCAATGGGAGCCGAGCATCGAAACATGTAGGAAAAACGGGGAAAATGTATTCCGTTTTGTGAGACGCAGGTGAAGTTGCGCAGGTTAGCTAGTATTATGTACATACACAAGCTCCGCTTAATTTGTTATCGGAGGCATTCAACAAAATCAATGGTGAATGGTGAGTCATAATTACGGACTCAAAGTTAATCCTGGAAAGACGCAGGTATGTGTAATTGGTAGCCCTGGGTTGGTCTCAAGAATTAACTGGACACAATTGCCCTTAATTCAATTCGATGGCAATATACTTGAGATCAGTACTTTTGTCAAAAATTTAGGTATCTATATAGATAATACTTTATCTTGAGGTCCACAAATACAAGAAGTCAGTCGTAAGTTATTTGCTTCTGTCGGGTCAGAAGACGAAGAAGACTGCGAAATTTTCTTCCAAATTTGTGTTTGGGTTAAGAAAATATGATCACGTTTCTGAATTCTGTCGAAAGCTCAAGTGGCTTCTCTGGCCTCAGTGGCTCTCGCCGGTATACTCATATCCTCACTTTTCTTTATAACATCTTGTTCAATCCTAGATCCCCCTTTTAACCTCAAAGAACGTTTCAAGTTCCTTAATGACACACATGATAAATGTGTGAGGTCATCCGAGGATTTGGGGCTGGAGATGCCTCTGTACAATACGACCAATATTTAACTGTTGAAACTGCACGTTTGTGGAATTCATTGCCGATAAATATCAGGCGAGCGCAAACGATAAACAGCTTTAAGAGAATGGTTCAGGAATTTTATAAACTTTGATTAAGTCAATTACGCGTCAAGGCATGTTAAGAACATTCCTTTTCTTTTTTCGTCTCTTTTATATGATATACTTAACTAGCTATGTATATATAAGTCTATGTATATGTATGTAAATCGTATGTATATGTGTATGTAAATTGTATATATGTTTATGTGTAAATATTTATTTAATTCTACCAATGCACCTTCAACTACTACTGTCTCTCCAAAACATTTTAATCCATCCTAAGGTTGCCTGGAAGAGATTGCTCTTAGCGGCCGAAATAAGGCCGCCCTTTGTACATAACATGCCTGAAATTTTTATGTACCATAATACTTGTAAAATGTGTGCAAATAAAGAGTTATCTATCTATTTATATACGTTCTTTTTATGGAAGAGGAGGCAAACGAGCAGACGGGTCACCTAATGGAAAGTGACTACCGCCGCCCATGAACGCCTGCAATCCAGGAGTCACTAGCATGCTGCCAGCCTTTTAGGCAGGAAGACGCTCTTTTCTTGAAGGTTTGAAGGTCGTATCAGTCCGAAAGTACAGATTGGTTGTGCGAGGCAAAAAGTGTATTGAAAAGCGCACAGTGGTAGAATGCCGATTATACAAGTGATGGGGATGAAATTTATTCTGTGTGGAACGGTGGTAGAAACTTGCAGCCGGTATTAGTCCAAACAATGCCTCGGAGCACTTTCCATGATATATATAATAGAGAATGCAGAGTCAAGCTACATCTCTACGTAACGCCAACGGATCGAGCAGATCGGAGATCTTTTAGCTGTTGACGATTCGAGTTGCTCTTCATTGTCCAGCGGGAGAAGCTAGTGCTGAGGTACCCCTGCATAGAGATGAGAACAGTATTCCACATGCGGCCCGGAATTGCGCCTTATAGAGTTGGAGGCGGTGGGCCGAGTTCAGCACACCGAGCTTCTTCGAGGCTGATTTGACCTTACCAAGAGGATAAGTGACCCCGAAACTGGAATTCACTCGGTATGTCGATACCTAGGATCTTGATATTGGCTGAGGCAGTTAGAGAGGTACTCTACGACCGAGGTGACACGACAAACGGTATCTTCTTTCCTGTGTCTTTTTGGGTTACAATGGACTAGATTTAGTCGACCCCAATCTGAAACCTCCGCTAAGAAAGTTTCAATTTCAGACACAAATTTGTTTCACAGACACAAGGGCATCTCTCGTACTATCATCTGCATAGCAATAAATGCTACTAATTTACAACATGTCATTGATATGCAGAAGAAACAGTGTGGGTGATAGCACATAGCCTTGCGGGACACCAAAATTTACAGATTTCAATTCGGAGGATGCTCCGGAGTATGCCGCAAAAATATATAATAGTAATAATAAGTTTAAGTTTGTACTGAACTGCGAATACAGTTTTATAATTAATATTTACGTAATGTAACATCATGTGCAAAATAAACAATTTAAACTTTGCTCAAGTTTTATAAAATTTCTAATACGGGGCACTTTATGTGTATGAAAAGACGAGAGCAGAGCAGGGAAAGATTTTTGGACAGGCAGTAAACATGTCATATTTTTCATATCCTTATCCTGAATATACAGATAGGCTAATACTCAATATAGGAAAGTACAGTGCTACTGACAAACGAAGGTTTTTTCTATATATGACTAACTACAAAAAGAAATCAGATTTTATAAAAGTAAATTTCTTTTTGGGACTGAGATATAATTCTTACTGAATCTATATAATATATAACCCCGTTATCGATATCATGTCAATATTAGACATCTTATTTTTTTTTAATAGAATAAAATAGAAAATATTGTGCTTTAAGAACAATCGAATCAAATCGCAATGTTTGTAAAAATGTCACATAAGAATAAATAATAATCTAATATTTGAAATAGTCATAATTGAACCTATTTCATTCATTAATGTTTATTCTTTGGTTTACCTGTGTGATGGTACCTCAAATAACCCTAGCCTGAGTAAGGCAGTTTTCAGCTATTAAACACGTTGCCAGCTCCCCTCCCTGTGGGGGAGGTCTAACGCACCTCCAGACCCGCGTTAGGCTGTAAGACCCGAGCCTGACTGGACATCTTTCCACTGGCCTTTAGCGTTCAAATAAATAACAAAAAAACCACGATAAGAGGGGAAGGGAAAGTAAGGATTTGAAATAGTTAAATACATTGTTATTGGTTGTTCTTATCCTGTCAGACTTCCATCCATTGTGCACTTAAGCTTAGAGTGATTCAATCAACTTCTACAACTGAATGCTCAAGGTCGCAAGGTCAGACACGTGAATACTGCTTGTCTAATGTTGCATTAACCCCTATGCAACGGGACAAAACGCGTGCGCCGACGGCGGACACAATTAAGACACTCTCCACTCAGGTACACGGCACTCACTTAACCTACCTACTCACTCAACCTACACTAAACGCTTTATAAATACACCACAATGGCAGATCACCGAAGGATAACCTTGTAGCAATGACCGCGGCCTGGTTGATCAGATATTAATCAGATCATCCAGGTCGAAGGTGGTCGTCTCGCCTCAGTTATAACTCGATTCACCACACTGCAGAGCATTATAAAGGGGTCATTAATCACTCAATCATATTCAAGATATCTTAACGAATACCAAATGCGTAAATAAAATTTAGAAGGGAAACTACATCTCATTAATTAATACTACGTTACTCAGACCGGAATATAAAAACGTATAATATAATAATCGTAAACATAATAACCAATAAAGTCTCACCTAGCTGTTCTCAACGTTCTATATATAACTTAACTAACTTACTCAATTTAGCTGCAATACGCACGATCGAATACGTTCAGCTTATGATTATCAACCTCCGCCTCCTAGCTCCTCAGCCCGACTGTCTTGTTCTACGTCTCAAGACCAACTCAACTCTTCTCCTTATTCACTATCGTTTCCAAAAGGACTCCTATCTAAGGGCTTTTCTCATGCTTATTCGTCTGCTGTCTCGCAGATGTGCCCAATTTAATTACTATGGTGAACCCTTGGCGATCCCTTTTTTATGGTACTCGTCTAAGAAACGCAATAAGTCTTTTTTTCATAATGGGCCGTCATTCATTTCGTAATACTTGCGGTTATAAAGTTCACTTTTTCTGCTCCTGGTCTGCTTTTTGTTCGTCTAGACCTTAAATGCACATGTGAACAATGGAACGGAAGTGTGGCAATGCAACTTTCTAACATTACTTGTCTAAAATACTCGTAGCATTTATGTGAAGTTTTATAATTACGTGATTGTAGCACTATCACACCTGACTGCCGGTTATAATTTTCTTTAGCCTGGAATTTTGGTTTATACCAAAATTCATTTAAATGTTAAGGATGGCAAAATTTACTTTTGTGTTAAAGTCCAATTATACATCATTGACTAGTCAGCTTTAGAATCAGTCCTATGGTATATTTATGCATGTGTCAACGAGGTGATGATTGTCACTGATTTCACTGATCTAAAACTATAGAAGTCCTTACTTTCCATCTCAAACGTTTATTTATTAACAGACTTAAAAAAAAGAGATTTTCCAGTTAATATCGAGGGTGGGAGAGATAGGTTTCTGTTACAAAGAATAGCTGTTTTGCTATCTCGAGGTGGACAGCATTGAGCACGGTAACGAGGGTTCAACTATTGTGCCTGCTTGCATGCATTATGTTCTGGAATATCACGCTAGCGCAGCTAGTACACCCTAGCGCCTCTGACCACCCAGAATAACGTAGTGCCTTTGACGCCCTCAAAGGGTATTGGCAGATAGAGCCATACGCAGTCACCGCACCGTGTTGACGAAGGTGGCGTACGCATTGACTTGAACTCTCCAAGGCATTCAAAAGCTGCATCTGTTACGAAAAAAGGTGGGTAATCGCTTTTCGGTGACTGAGTACTATTAATACATTGGAATTCGTAGCTCATACTCTTTTTTCACTTAACATAGCGTTATGTTCACATTAAAAGTTTTGAGATATAGATATACATTTAACATATTAATATTTCCGGACCGATACAACTTACAAATCATTCTATTGAAATCTAAAGATAATCATGTTTTTGTGGTATTTTCAAAAGTGGTATTTTTAATAATCTATTTTAAACGTATGCTCAAATAATCATTGCTAGATAATCTTCGTGCGAAGTACCTTATAACGGGTATATAAATGGTGAACAATCGTAAGTGCATCAGTTTATTTTTAATCAAAATTTGTACACAGGACTGACAATACATTTTTATTATGAAGTGTAAGTAAAACAAATATTATACAGTACTAACTTTACAAATATCTTAATTCTCTATTTTAAACTTATGTTTCCAATAAATAATTCTCAGTTTTAATTAATTGTTAAATTAAATAGTTAGATGTTATATAATATAAACTTTACATTTTAATATCATATATTTATAAACTTATTAGTTATTCCTTTTTTGTTTTACTCTTTGAATTGAAAAAAAAACCGACCACCGACACACTTCCCAAAAGTTTCCATCAGATGACCAGTCTCTCTTCTCTTCTCGTTTGCTCCCTTTATATGAAAATTAACATTAATCAATCAAGAATTCTATAATCAATTTTGGTTGTCCTACAACCATCAAACTTTATTAGTTATATCAATTTTTGACACGAATTTTCTTTACATGATTAATTTGTATTTTTAATTAAATTAAAAACTATTTATATAATATTATGACTATTTATATTAGTCTCGTTGTAAACATATTCTTGCTTTAACTAAGTGTAATAATTTTCAGGTGCAATACTTTCTGTGCTGCTCATTGCTGCACTTGCTCAAGGAGCCGTGCTTCTTAAAGAAAATAAAGTGCCTGATGTATGTGCTGCTCAATCGGACAACGTCTTTATTGCTCACGAACACTGTAACAAGTTTTACATTTGCTCGGGAGGAAGTGCCATTGTTTTCTCTTGTTCCGTTGGTACGTTGTGGAATCCTAGTCTAAACATTTGTGATTTCGCGGCTAGCGTAAACTGCGGCAACAGAATAATTCCGGGCGAAGACGACAATGTTGTAATTCCAGATATACCGGAAAGCCCAGACAACAATATCCATGACGATCCTAGTCTAGCTCCACAGATTTGTGCCGCTCCAGATTCATTGAATGCCTTAGTAGCTCACGCAAATTGTAACCAGTTTTACTTGTGTTTACATGGTTTCCCAGTACCTCAATTCTGTCAGGCTGGACTTTTGTTTGACCCTCGTGAAGGCAGATGTGATTGGCCTAATCTTGTAAATTGCGGGAACAGAAATGTATAAGTATAGTGTACATATTATAAAATAGGTCAAATATTTGACTTACAATATTTGTATTATACTATAAAATGGAAAAATATTAAACGTAATAAATGCATTTGTTTATTGTTAAATTGTGTTTCATTATTGTTTGGTAAAAGTAACAAAAGAAAAAGCGAGAAAGATCAAGTAAGACAATGGCAATGTACACGATGATTCTGGTTAAGCTGCTGTTAGAGTTGAAGAATAAGAATCAGGCCACAGCCATGTTTCTTACAAATACTGTGTCAAGTTCAACTATTTATGCCGGGCAGGAAACTTAGCATTTTTAACCTTTCCTGTTCTATACCTTGTTAAATTTGAAGAACAACTGCTACATATGGTTCTCAAAGATAAACATATTAAAAGGGTATAAATTAAATCACAGTTTACTTAATATTTTGTATTGTATACACATCTTTTCCATTAAAAGCATAAATTTCGTAAAAAAAATGTGGTTTCTGATTTAAAAAAAAACCAAAAGGTTTTTGATGTTACTCCAAGACTATTTTAAATAACGGTTTTTAAAATATTTTCCCAAAATTCACATGCGCTAACCAAGCTAATATAAGTATTGCGCATAGGTTCTTCATCATCATCATCACCAGCCTATAGCAGTCCATTGCTAGATATAGGCCTCTCCCATTACACGCCACTTAATCGTCGATTTCCGATTTCTCGCATTCAACTCCTGTCAGCCATCTTGCGCAAATCATCACTCCACCTGACCTGTGGGCGTCCTACAGTATGTTTGCCTAGACGAAGTCTCAACTCAAGAACTCGTTTACTCGTTGAGATATGAGTCTGGTCTGGTCTGGTCTGAAAGTTTTGGGTTATCGGTTAACCCGACAAAGAATCAGGCCATAATAATCGGTAGTCAACGTTCGATGAACAGAGTCAATTTTGAGGCGCGTCAATTTAGAGACGCGAGACGATTATGTAAAATTAAATGGCACCACTATACCTGTTTGTCGAACGGTAAAAGACCTAGGTTTAAAACTCGACTGTACTCTGAACTGGCGCGATCAAGTAACCTATGTATGCCAGAGGGTTACCGGTATCCTCAGAAGACTATATCGCCTGAAATACTTTCTCACCGTGAAAACTACGAAAACACTTGTGCATTATTTTATATTCTATTTAATTGACTATGATAACATACTATGACCTGAATGCAGATCTTCTTAGCAGGTTAGATCGTCTTCTTAATAACTGCATTCGATTTATCTTGAATCTTCGCAAGTATGACCGTGTCTCCAGTTTTCGTTATTAGCTAAGATAGTTAACAACTCGTTAACGCAGAAAAATGAGCGCACTCACAACCCTGTATACTGTCCTCAACGGCCCATCTCCTCCTACTTATTTAACACTACAATTTCCACTCTTATGCAATCCCCATAACCGAAACCTTCGTTCGTCTAACAATCTCCTTCTACTTTGTACTTGTACTAGGTTTGTTGGCTCTTCGTTCTTTGTTCAGTCATGCTCTTGTGGAATGAGCTTCCTTTTCAATCATCGTTATTTTGAGAACAAAGTAAAGGAGCTTTTGATGGGCGAATTCAACAGAGAATAAATAAGATTATAAAGACAGTTATGTTTAGCCATTATGGCGTACAAGTATATTATGAGCATTAAGTACAATCTTCCCTAAATTTTATAATTCTTTTATATTTATGCAATGTAGAATGAATTGATTATTATCATTATATTCATTTTATTCATGACATTAATACATTAATTTATATTATTGATATTATTCATTATACAATTATTAAAAATTATCAAATTATTTTACATTATTATTTACTACAATACTTTTCAGATTGGTAAGGCCTTAAATTCTTATTAAGCATTACCAGTGGAGCAGTAGATCAGTTATCAATTTTATCATGTAGGAACTCATCAAAATCATAATAAGCTTCATTTGCTAGGAATTTCTTTAATTTATTTTTAAATATTTCATTGTTTTGTTCTTTCCAAAGTCTAGGAATTTTATTTTTGGGGAAATACAAAATATACTATTATGCATTAGAGTAGTTTATTATTTTATGCATTGTTGCGCCTATATATATATATATCATCAATCATCAACAGCCTATACTAGTCCACTGCTGGACATAGGCCTCTCCTTAGAAAGGAGGTTTTGGCCTACTATACCACGCTGGCCAGACGGGTTGGTATAGGGTTTGTTTCAAGTTTTCCTTCTCTTTGCAGTGCTGTTGTCCTGCTTAGTTTGCTCCCTTAGTCGGCTCTTACGACACCCACGGGATGAATTGGGGTGGTGACAATTTGTATTCTTAATCCGTCACCACACGGACACACATATATATAAATACACATCATTGTTATCTAACATTTTCAATTTTGAATTTATTTATAATGAAAATAGATGGACGTAATGTACATAATGTATATATGATGTATAACATAGATGTAATTTATTACCTACCCTAAGTGCACCTACCTCATTCTTTCGTCTCTGCATCGTCCAATCGATGATGAAGTGAATGAATTTGGTTTTTTCCCGTAATCAGCGTCCTCAACTACGTATAATATCATAAAAGCACTCTTGGTCATATTTATTTTGCAAATTCAGTGCTACGCTGACTGGACTATGGTGGCTGCCCCTAGTATGTGTGTGTGTGCCCCTAGTGCAATAAATTCCTAATAGTTGAATCTTCAATAAAATATTTTTTTCGGTCCATTAGGAATTTGCCGTATTTTTTAGGCATTTTTCGCTAATTCTACCTGTCTATGGTGTAAAAGGATTTTTGCATGTATTCTTATACTGTTTATGATCCAGAAAAATGAAGCAAATGGATCTCCTCATATTTTTTACGACACCATAAGATCGAATTGGCTGGACCACGTTATCTAATCTACTGTTTGTTTTTGTTATAAAACCGTATAATATCAAGCGTTGCTTTATATTTAAAAAAAAAAATCATAAATACTTGCAAAAATTACCACGCTACATGCCTGATTGTACAAGTTTTATTATTGTGGAAGTGATGGAAATAGAAATGGAGTGGGTGTAGTACTGGATAGTGCCCTAAAAGAGAGCGTGACGGATGTAAAGAGAGTGAAAGATAGAATAATAGTAGCAGGAGTAGTATGGGAGCGTGTGCTTATAAATATTGTTAGCGTGTATGCACCTAAAGCTGAATGGGTGGCGAACCTCAAGGATGAAGTGAAAGAAAAAAATTGGGACCCATTTGATATGGTTATGATAGGTATTCCTGAAAGTGAAGAACTTTTTATAGGTGGAGACTTTAATGGACGTGACGACAACGAATGATGACTATGAAAGAGTACATTTTGGAAGGGGGTTCGGAAGTAGAAACAATGATAGTGAGACCCTACTAGAGTTTTCCTCTTTGTTTGACGTAGCAATAGTTGACACATGGTTCCAAGAACGTTACGAACATCTGATCACGTAAAAAATGGTAGCCATGCGACACAGATTGACTACTTTCTCATAAAAAGAAGTAAGTTGGTTTGTGTCAGAGACTGCAAAGTGGTGCCCGGGGAACCCGTAGTATCACATCATAGATTGCTGATAATGGAGGTTAAATGGAAGGCTTCCGGTCAGAGTATTAAGAACCTATCTTCTCCAAGAATCAGCTGGCGAATGTTAGAGAAAGAAGTTTCAAGGTAAAGGTGGTAGAAAAATTATTGAAATGATTGCAATTCTATATTATTTTCTATATAAGTTTGTGGATAGATAGTGGGATGAAATGGCAAATTATATACGAAAGATATCGAGAGAAGTATTTGGTTAAATTAAAGGATAAGCTATTATTGAAAGAGACACATGATGGTGAAGTGATGAGGTACAGTAAGCCCTAAAATAAAATAAGGTTGCCTTTAAAGCGTTTAAAATTAAAAAAACGGTGTGAGAAAATGCAGGAAGTCAACAATAATGAATATAAAGAATGAAAAAAACAGTAGCGCTAGCCAGAGCTTAAGTTCAATGCCATATATAAACACTTACATGAATCTAGAGGTAAAAAAAAAACACTACCGCATTCCAAAAAACAGGTAAGAAAGAGCAAAAGACCTAAATAACGTAAGATGTATAAAAGTGTCGATTAAAGATATAAAAGAGTGATGGAAAACTTACTTTGAAAAACTTATAAATGTAGAGAATGAATGGAGCGGAGTGCTGAAAGATGTCGATGTGAATGTCCGACTGGTGAACGAGATTACTGCAAATAAAGTAAGATTGGCAGTAAGAAGTATGAAAAAATGGAAAATGAGTTGGTTCCGACGCTATACCAGTGAAAGTTACTGAAGACAAATATGAGTGGCTGACACAATTTTTCAATATGTTGTTGCATCAAGAGGTAATCCCAAAGGAATTGTCAAACCCGTACCCATTTAAAAAAATATAAGAGATGTTTAGGAATGCAACAACTATCGAGGAATAAAGCTCATGTCACATAATATGAAAGTCTGGGAGAAAATTATTGAGAGAAGAATAAGAGATGAAAGTAAGATAACCCAAAGTTAATTTGGATTTATGCCAGGACGCGGGACAACAAATACTATATTTTGAATGTCGTTATAAAACTATCAAAAGACTTGCCGACGACTCTCCAGGACTGCTAAGCTGGCGACTGCCGAGCACTGGTCCTCCCGATAGACATGGTGTTCACCAATTTTGAGTTCGTCTACTGGTCTGAGATGGATCTCGCTGAGCAGGGCTATGTCCACTGGCTGTTTTGCCAGCAGCAGTTTCAATAGCCTGATATTCTCTGGTAACAAGAGATGAATGTGTGGTGTGACTCGGATGGACAAGGTTAGGAATGATTATATATGAGCGAGTCTGAAAGTAGCGCCACTGGACGAAAAGTTAAGAAGTAATAGGTTATCTTATTATGGAGATGTCATGCGGAGGGTTGAGGTAAATATGGCCATGAAAGTGTTAGGTATGGGAGTTGAAGGGTGCAAAAAGTGAAGAGGAAGGCCAAAGAAAAGGTGGA